GAAATAAACTAAATAATATATATAAACTAAATATAATATAAAATATAGATGCTTCAAATCATATAAATTTGATATATGTTATATGTATGATATTTCGCGCAGTTATCATCAACCAATCAGATCACAGCTTTCTTATTAATTTGATTATTGGATTCGATCTTGTGATCCTGTGATTGGAAATGAATAATCTATACCTCATTAGAACTGTCTCAATAAGCTGATTCAAATGGTGGTGGTTTCATCAAATTCTGTCTAGTGATTCAAAAGTTATAGTCATTTTTGTAGCTTAACAATAGTTAAAAGATGACAAAATTTTGTGATGGATAAAGATATGGTTAAGTCAGGTGGTGAGAAGTTTGATATAGAGTTTTTTAATGTGTTCAAGTAAACTAATAGATCTGGTATTAGTTAAGTTGCCATCAAAGATAGGTTTTTTAGAGATAGGAAGGATTTTTTCTTCTTTCTATTAGTTTAGAATTTGACCAGATATAAGACAATGATTAAAAAGAGCTGTAATTGTATTAAGAAATACTGTTTCAGTATATTTGATTATTTCATAACTAATGCCTAATGGTCTACATGCTTTGTTATTAGAAAGTTGATTGATAACTTCAAGAACTTCTATAGAAGAGAATTCTTTAAGAGCTGGTTGATACTATGTAGGATCGATGTTTGGTTTAGATTGATATCTTGTTGTCACATTGTGTTGAATAATTGTAGTTGGATGTTTCTGGGAGCTGTCCAATCATTGAAGTGTTGTTGGATATGTTGTTTGATAAGTGATGATTCAGTAATAATGTTGTTTAATTTCTTAATATTGTCAAACTTAATAGGATCTTTGTGTCAATTGAGTATACTATTGATCATTTATGTTAAACTATTTTGAAGTTTAGTGCATCTTTTGGCTATATTATCATTAATTTGTTTTCTTATATTTTTAATATTTTCTAGATTGCATGCATAATAGAGTGTTTTCCACTCTGTGTTGGCTGCAGTTATTCAGTCAGGTAGAAGGTTAAGATCTTGGAGCAGTGCAGGTATATTGAGATGGTGAAGAAAGTTAAGTTGATCAATATTTTGATTATGAAGTATAGACACAGGAGTATGATTGTGAGATGCTGCTTTAACTTGTCTTATGATGTTATTAAGTGTTTTGAGTTCTGAATATAGTTTGGATGCATTGAAGGAAAAGATGTGTTGAAAGTTACGGACAGTAAATTTTTTGTTTGGAATATATTGAAGGGTAGCTAAAATAATACTAGTTTGAATTTTGTACCAAGTAGTCTCAAGTGATTTTGTAGTATTAGTTGTAAAAGGAACATTGTTGTTATAAATGTTAGATATAACTTGGTCAGTGAAGTTTTGCCAAAGGTCTTAGTTCATTTGTTTATAAGAAAATATTCTATGCTTAGTTTTGGTTACTGATCGTCATTTCCCAGTAATGATATAAAGAAATTCCCAGGATGATATCAGTATATTATGATCACTAAGTGTACATTAGTTAGCATCATCTGTATAGTAAGAGGTTAGGTATCAGATAATAGCATAGTTAGCCCAAATATAGTCAATATGACTGCTATATCTGTTACTATGCTATGTAGGGGTTAAGGATTATATATGTTTTGCTAAATTATACATATTATTGTGTTAAAAGAAATGAAAAAGTTTAAGTTTAATAGAAGATAATTGTATATTGTTAGAGATATTGAAGTCACTCATAACAATTGGTTGTATATTGTTTGTATTTGCTTCTTGAATCTATTGTATAATATTGTTTTAGATAAGAAGACATACTATACATAGATATATATTAATGTTATATATTAGATATGTATTAGATACTTATCTGTAATATAGTTTTAAGCTCATAACATGTTATATACTGTTTTTTTAATTTATTTACTATTGATTTATTGAGATAATGTATTGCAGTTAGTGAATAAAATTTATCTTCATAATTAGAAACTGTATATATTATATTATTATTATATTGGCTTATTTTATTTCTTAATAGATAAACTTGTTGATAAATATGCTCAATGAATCATAAATGATTCAATCATTTTTTAAGAATAATTTGATTTACTAAGTTGTTATAAGGATGAAGTTTTGATTGAACAATGGGTACTAACATTCCACACAATTATTTTATTGAGAATTGCCAAGTGCTCCAGCAAGGACTATTTGTTTCTATAGTATCAGCAAGATGCAAAAGGTAATAAAAGCATATTTTTATTGCTAATAAATGCATTTGATCTTGCTTATAATATGTTCTATTAATCAATTAAAATTTGTTATAAGTCAAATAAAAATTTAATATATTGAATTGCATATGTTAAAAATATGAATATGGTTATATTGATTAGCAGTTTGGATATAAATGAATATAGGTAAATTTACCTTTCACAATAATTATAAAAGCCAACAGTTAGCCTTCAGATTTCATTAATATCATCTGATGACATTATTTGTTTTTGACATAATTTAACAGCAGCCACAAATAAAATCCAACATTGCATTATTTTTTTTGGTAAATGTTCTCTTAATAATAGCATTGAATAAAGTGTCACCCAATTTGCCCATTTTTTTGCCTTAAATCTATTATAGTGATTAATAATATTTCTTAGAGGTCAGCCAAATTATATTGGCATTAATTTTTAATTTTTTATTATTATTTTCCCAATCACAACCTAGGTACTTTTTTGAACAATATACTCATTTGTATTCAAGTTTGCATTATTGAAATAAAAGCTTCTGTACTAATGTTTAAACATATAACCTGGTATATTTTCATATAACAAATGCATGATATCAATTGGAAATAAATTAGGGAATTTAGTTGATTTTAATTTAAATAATATACTTTGACTATTAACTCCTAACATTATTTAAATTTAAATTAGTGCAAATTGTATTAATTACAAAGCATGACCAAAATGTATAACAGGTTACAACATTAGCCTATATTAAATAGAATTTGATGTTCAATTGAGAAGGGTTAAAAAGAAGATTTAAAGAAAAGCTATACCAAAATTATAGGTAGAATTTGTTTTTTAGAATACCAAGCACAATTTCAAAGATAATTTTGAAATATAAAACAGCTTTTTCTTAATTTGTTAATTCTGTCACACACTTCAGTTATGCAATTACAAAATATATAGTATACCAGTAGTAATTTCTATTTGTTTTCTTTTACTATAATTTTTAGCTGCTTTCTATTTTTGTATTTTATTTAAATAATTTTAATGTGGTCTTTTTAGAAGGTTACTTGGATCATAGACCACTTCTTGTCTGTTTTTAAGAGGTTTTGTAGAAAAATAAACATAATTTTCCTATATTCCACATAGTTACAATATCTACAACCTTAGTAAGAATTGTGTCCAGTGATACATATCAAGTTTGCAAGGGCTGGCATGTCTCTTAACTAAGATACGACAGAGCAATGTAGAATAAAATCTTCATTTTTAGATCTGTCTTGGCATTTGATTTAATCTTAACCAAGTAATTAAAATTTACAAGAAAAAAAAAAATCTTAACTAATATTTAATCAGAGGCTCAAAAAAAAAATATAATAATAATACATATATATATATAATTAAATAACTTAAATTCTTATGTTCTAATTCTTTAAGCTTATCTATTACTGGACAAAGAAAAGAGTTTAAGTTGTCTAGTACAAATGGACCTGAAATTAAGGCTTCAATTAATAGGTTGTTTTATTTCACTTGATTCTTTGGTCAAATATTTGCATTTATAAATAAAATTATCCAACAATCATTAGTTTTTTGTTTAAAGATATTATATCCATCAAGTGAAACTATTAATGCAATATCTCGATTATCTTTAAAATATCCTTCTTCTATTAACTTTTGGTATTCTCTACTATCAAATATATTGCCAAATAATTTATATTGTTTATGTTCTTTATTTATTATATAATTAGTTTGATATTGTAATTTTAATGACCATTAAGAATTTTGGTACTAAATAATAAACTGATCTTTCAAAGGAAAAAATGCTATTTTATTTATGCCAACTTTTTTTTTTAAGTTTTCTTTATACCTTTTCTCTTCACAAATTGAACATTCTTGTAAATCTTTCAAATTACTGATAAAAGTGCAACAACTTTTCACACAAAAATCAACCTATATTGGATTAATTGATATTAGCCTTGATAATTTTTTAGTGGCATGATATAATAATATATTTTGTTTGCTAAAAGCATCTATTATTTTACAAAATGTATCATTTGTCATATTAGAATAGACTTTTATTTTTAGAAGTCTCAAAGCTTCAGAAATCTAAAAGGTAGTTGAATTATTGTATGATCTAAAAAAATGATAAAATTTTGAGAATTAAAAAGAATATAAAAATATCTAAAATTTGGTTTGCCTTACAATCTTCATTTGACTTGCTATTTGATACTGAATTTGAATCTGTTAGTAGTTCATTATCAGATGGCTAAAATCGAGCTTCCCAAGAGTATAATTCACAATTAGTAAGTGATTCTAGATCTACAATTTTGGTATTGCTCAGCATTTGATCATTAAAGATTTGTTTATTATCACTTAATTTTTGTTCAACAATACTCATTTCTTGTTCATCACTACTCAATTGAGTTTTTTCGTCTTAAAGATACTTTTTATAATAATATGTATATGTTGAAATAGAAATTAAATTTTGATTTAAAGAAGTTCTTTGGCATTTTAGACAATTACAAAGGACTTTTAGCCCTTTATTACTTTTTTTTTTTTCTTTTGACAACTTTTAACAATCATTTGAATTATTTATAACAATAAAATTTTTCAATAATTGAATCTTGATGATAAGAGAAAAAAGGCAATAGTACTGTCATAGTAAACTTTAAAGTTTTTTTTTTTTTAATATTAAGGTGAGTACATGCGACCCAAGATTTTACTGATAGTATAAGTTGGCCAGCGCCTGTATATGTACAGACACAGAGGCAATTACAGAAAGAGTGTACAACTAGCCACTTGTACAACTTTAGTCATTGTC